TCCTCGCTGCTGGTTTCCTTCAGGGTATAAAATACAGTTGTTTCTTTCCCTGTGGAAGGCTCCCTGATTAAGTAGCTTTGGATGAGGTATTTTGCACAGTTTGCCATGCTTCTGGTGCAGTTGCAGCGCTGCTTTTACTGCCATGCTGTTTCAAGAGCACACAATGTGAACGTGCACAGCTGTGTGGGGCAGGGGACTGGAGCTGGTTACCTGCGGGTTGGGCACGGATCCCTGTGCTGTACCTGCGGGGCAAAAAGCCATGTGTGGCACCTCTGCTGGCTTTGCCTTGAGCACAAGAAGGACGTGCTGCAGAGGGGCTCTGCCTTGACTTGCCAGGACTTCAAATACGAGGTAGCCCAGGAGAGGTGCTGTAGCAGTGCTCCCGGCCTCTGTAATGATTGCTCAGAGCCTGGTACTGCTACCAAACTACAAAGAATTCTGTGTAGAGCTAAGCAGTTAAATTCTTCCTGCAAGTTAGCACAAAGCAGGCTGTTATGCCTGCAGTGTAATGTGCTGCTCTTGATGTGCGCTCATGAAAACCCTCTGGAAAAGTTAGCTTGGCAAAGTTGTTATTTCTCCAGTCTTCTGAACTTGTTGTAAGACGGCTTGTTGTGGGTTAGGAATCATTTCCATAAAGCTGTCCAAAACCTAAGAACATGCGAACGCATGCGGACTGATTTTCACTGCGCTCACATTTAATTTCCTTTCTCTTTGTATAAGTAAATGGCCAACAAATGTGGAGGTGTGAACATACATGAAAAGCAAATTTCAAAGCTGCACATGTAAATATTTTTGGAATAGCTGTTTTTCCTGTGCATAAGTGCTTTCAACTAAAAATTCCTGTATACTGAGCCAAAAGAAAAAGATTATTAATTTACTTAGTTGAGTCCAAAAACATTCTGCCCTCAAAAAGTCAGTAATATATGATGTGTAGGGATGCACATATGTAAATCTCAAACTATGAACTTGCAAACAAGACATTCAAACATTTCCTAAGTATCTCCTCTTATTAAGACATCTTGTCTGATTCAGTTTTTATTTGCAAACACAATTCCCTGTGCTTCCAGTTGAGCTGGTGCTTTCTCTCTTTTGGGCAGGTTCACAGTTGTTTACATGGGGAAGGTTGGTGTTACTGTTTGCTATGTCACAGAACCATGCGGAGCTTCAGTCAGTCTGTGGTGGTATTTCCTGTGAAGGCTTGTACCCCACAGCACAAGCCTCTTATATAAAAGTCGCCTTTACTTTATACAGTGAGGATTTTTGCAGGGTATTGTTGGTTCATATCCTCCTCATAAGTTACTGTGTACACATATGATAGATGTGGACTGCTGCAACTCAATGCTCTCCTCATTCCTTGTTCACAGATAGCCTTTTTGCAATTAATCTCTGCCGGCAGACTTGTGAGTTCTGATTTCCTTTACTGAATCTGGTGGGAAGATGTTCCTATTAAAATGTGTTTTATTTCTTATACAGAAAGAATGGGTTACAGCTCTGGGAAAAGCAGAATCAGAAGGAAATAGCTGTAGCTCGATGGATTTGCTGATAATTTTACTACTTGTTAAAAAACTGTCAAGATCCGTTCCTGGAGGAACAAGTTTTTTTGTTACAGGCACAGGGCCTTAAGAGAAGAGCAGTGCTTTTGCTCCTTCAAGCTGGTATTTTTTGATTGTCAGTATAAATGAAAGCAAGATGGAAACCAACTCTTTCCAGGCACAAAGATGGAGAGAACAAAAATAAAGTATTCCCAAATTCAGATTAAATATTTAAATAGGAGTGCTATGGAATAGATAGAGGAGCTTTTTCCTTTTTTGAGAGATGGACTTCTGTTCTTCCAAATAAATGTTTTTAATGAATCATTTTGACATATGTTGAATGGATAGAATGTCCTCTGCATTGTGTTTAATTCCAAGCCACAAAAGAGGGAAGTAATCAGTACATCTCCAAAGAAATGTGGAACGGACTTTTTATTCCTGGACTTATGGCTAAATATGAGCAGAAAGACGCTGTCAGATTTTGGAGTGTTTGCTCAGTTAATTTTGCAGTGTGCATGTGCCTTATAATTCATTTTAACCATCACTAATGAGGTATTGTAGAGGTCCCATTCCCTCCTGTGTTCCTGGTTTAAGCAAGCGACCCATTGACGTCAATGACAACTTGGCCTGAATTGCGCCTGAATAACTGAAACCAGACAGTGAAATGAAATGCTCTCTAGAAAGCATAAGGGTAGGACCACTTCAGCCCACATTATTGCCCAACTCCTGAGGCTTGAAAACAAAATCTAGATAAGTTTGCCAGAGTGCCTCTGTCATGCCTTGACATGGGAATTACGATTTGAAGTGATTTCTTCCAAGTCTGCGGCTTAGTGATTTCTTCCTGCTCTCCCTCCCTGCCAAGCACTGGACAGCTGAAAGATTTGGCCTAGATCCTTAGCAAGTTTTCCCTTCTCTGTCTTGGTACAAGCAGTGAGGATTAGCATATTTCTGTGGAGCTTAGTGGTGCCTTTCTGGAAGTACCACAGTAATATCACATCACAGCACTCCCACCTCTTCCTACAGTTTTTTCTGTGCAGTGGAGATAGAGATGGGAGAGTCAGCTCTGGCAGCTGGGTGGTTTTAGGAAGTTTCTGCCAGCTTTGCACTGTCAAGGACTTATGTCCTGTAGAGGGAACAAGTGTCTGCTTCTCTCAGCCACATCAGCTGTATGCTTGTGGCTTGTTTTGGAAATACCTCTTTTCACCCAAAAGAGATGTTTGGTGTTTCAGGTCTCCCTGTTTACATAAGTTTACATATATTCTTGATGTAACCTAAACCTAGAAGGAGAATTAAGTGTCTTATGGCTATCTAGCAAGGAAAACCAAGTGTAATTCCTACGTAAACAATTGGGTCCAGTTCAGAAGCAGTTCAAGCAGTAGTGCAAGATGGTGTAAGGACACTTCGTATTTTTAAGGGAATATTTGAACTTTACTTCAGGGGATTTTCAGAGGGAATACAACCAGTCAGACCTTTACTTGAACTCTTTGTTCATAATATACTACATCCAACAATGGTACATTATTTTGTAAATGTGCTATATTGATGCAAATTTAACATCACATCACATCCTATTTCCTAACTCCATTGTATTTAACATGAAACTTTGCAGTCAGAAGATCTAGCTCTGGCTGCTGCAAAAGGACCATGGGAGCAAAGGCAGTTATTGGATATAAGATGAAACACTGTTTTCTGAACTGGGCTGTCTTTTCTAGGTTGGATCTGAACACACTGAAGCTGCACAAGCATGGGTCCACACCTGAGCTTTACAGCTGGACTTGATGAGCTAATCCAAATACTGGATAATAACATAATGCCCCTTGTGATTCCCCATTTTTACAGATGGGAGAGCAGCTGTCACTGATTGCGTTACATGAATTTTTTCATTTTTGCAATATAATCTAGCTACTAAAGAATACAGGGCCTAAGGAATTAAGAACTGTCTCAAAATTCAGAAGCCAAATCACAATGAAACATCAAATTCCCTTTTTATTCTTACATTTAAAAAACTGTAATTCAACTCTATTTCATGGCAAGGAAAGAACCCTAATAAGTCAAGTTTCAGTATGCATGCAGAACTGCAAACAGCTCTTTCCTGGACTGGTAGAGCTTAAAGCATGGTGCAGATTCCACCAGCACCCAGTACAAAGACAAAATCACCCCCAAGCAGGATGTGATAACTGAAACTGCAGAGATGCGCTTTAAGTCGTGAGAAAAGCGAGACTGTGAGGATTGCATTTTGCTTTAAAAAAGCTTAAGCCCAAGATAACTGTAAAGAAAACCTTTCTTTAAATGCTGGTCATATGAAGTTCTGTGATAATACAGTTCTTTATTTGAAGATGCTGATATAATTTCTCATACTTCATTTTAAAGTCATGTTCTTGGCATTCCTATAGCTTTTTGCTAAAGATGATCAATTTATATCAAAGTTCTGAACGCACTGCATACTGTCTGTGTAAGGGCAGTAGATTTCCTGGCTGTCAATATTTGTCATTGTACTGAGTTGCTTTAAACTCAAATCCCCTTACTGTTTTCAAAGCATCCATACCCCTGCCCGCAGTGTTTCTCTACTGATTATTGTGCTGTCTTCAATAAGGAACAAGCAGCCACAAATGTTTCAGTCTTGCAGACCTACTGGTAGCCAAGTGCTGTAACACACACCAGGTTATTTTTGCTAACAGTGTTGTCCCTCTGTTTCAACAGCTCAGCAGATGCGTGCCCTGAGATTTGTTCATTTCCAACACAGAAACTGATTGATTATTGGGATTGATTCAACAGCTGATTCAATTCACATGATGCTCACCCTCTTATCTTTCTCCTAATCAAATAACATTTTCCTCAGGGGATCCACGATGTAATTATTTATATGCAGATTTATATCATTGTTTTATAGTTATCTGTACACCTTTTTGATTTCAAGTCTTTGATTTGAGTGTGTCTGCCTGTCTTGGGCCATGCTGCAGAACGCCCTTTCACTCAGGAATTAGAAAAGGTCCGTCTTTTTAGAGCTGTGGTGCTCCCCTCCCTGCTCAGTGCTTTGTCTCACTTCACTGAACTGCTGAGCTCTGCTCTGAGACATTTTGCAAGTGGAGAACCAATGATTACTTTGAAGCCTTAGAGTCAGTTTGGTTTGGATTGCAGTGGTCTTTTTCATAATGCTGCTCTGTTTCCTTGCTCTGGCAAAGTTGATGTGAACAGAAATGGAATAATAAGAAAGATTTGTAACTTCTGCTGAATTCCATGTTGCTCTGTGGCAAATACTGCATTTGTACTGGAGAAACTGAAGCCTGCAGACGCAAGGGTCTTAATCACACAGGAATATAAATCAAACGTTACCACTGCATGTTAACCTTAGTCTTCTGATGCTTAGAGGCTTAGATGTTTTAGAGGCTGGATGCTAACCTATTTTATCTTCCAGTGGAAACACTCTTAGACATACAATTTTGAATAAATAGTAAAGTCAACACTTACTCATAAAATTCAGCAGCAGGAGTGAGCTTATACTTGGAGTATTTGGTGCCATTGCCAAGCACTGACGCGTTGAAGAGTTTGGGATCTGTACAGTTTGGGCTATTCCAGCTGTTGTCGCAGTTCGTCCAGGGGAGCTCAAATGTGAATGATGAAAATAGATAATATAGAGACCAAGCTATGATAACGTTGTAGTAGAAACCCACGTAAAGAGCTATGAGTATCACTGCGTAGCCTACACCTAAAGACAAAGGAAAAGGAGATTATACATTGCATTTTATCTGCAACAGTATATGCAAACACTGTAGTTTAGTTCTCAGCCATAATTGCAATTTTTTTTAGATTCTCAGGCAGATAATTTTTTTTTAATGTTTACGTGCACGCCATTGATCTTAAAACAAGTAATTACATTAATGAAGTTGGAAAGTGATTGGCCTTTAGGAAATCCAGTTGTCTTCCCAGAGAAAGAAATTAGGCAGCTCAGTGTCAAAATCTGCTTTTGTTCAACGCCACTGGGGTTTTTCTTCCAATGCAAAGGACTGTGAGTCCATGTTAGGAGTGAAATTCATTTCATCTTTGTGTCGGAATCCTTGGCAACTTTTCTTGGAAAAGTAAAGCTGAAGTTTCCCTATGCCTCCTGCTGAGCTTGTTTGGATCAGACAGCATTCCCCTTTTGTTTCGTTACCACTGTTCCTCTCCAGATTGCATCTATCAGTTTGTGACTAGGTCCAAAACATGCACACAACAGCCTACGCTGTTCCACTGAGTGGTGCAAGTGGTTATACGAGTAAATCTTACTGTATATCAGTCTTGGGGCTAAACTCTGCTAAACTGGAGATATCATTATATCCCCAGGATTATAGAATGGAAGTCACAGAAAATTTAAACCTAAGTCTGGGCAGGGCATTTGGTGAATTCCAGTGTTAAGCATCCTCTGATGCTTCAAACATTTCTTTGTATTTTTGCATACTGTTGAGGTGTGCTTGGAGTGTCTCTTAAGAGGGACAGCTCTCTCCTTTAAATAATATCTGGTTTTTAATAGTTTAGATGGAAGCTTTGTTACTTAACGGCAGAACAGAATAAAAGCTTATTGTCACAATTATTCAGGAAGCGTGTTTTATCTTGGCTAATATTGTTCTTCCATTAATCTATGAGCAGGACTGATCTGTGAATCCTATCCTAGGGTTCTCTTTTGTGTTATGGGTAGAGACTTCATCTGCTTTATTGCTACCATCACAGCAGTGTCACAAGCACGTAAGTGTAAACTTTCATTTTTTATTTTCTCTAGTAAAATACTGCATTGGAGGCCTAACAGTTGGATATTTTTGAACTGTCACATTCCCTGATAAAGCAATGAATGAACTTTCCTTGGTTTGAAATTTGCGTAAGAAACAGATGCAGACTGAAGAAGCTGGCAGCTCAAAGACTGAACCAAAGTTTTTCTTGCTTGAGAAGTTTTTAGTATATACAAGCCAGGTTGTTCATCCCTAGCACTGGGGACAGATAGTGAAAAGAAAGATAAAACTGTATCCTGAAATCCTTAGTGTTTAAATGAACACTCAAGCTCCAGTGATATATTACAATAAACATAATAGAAAGAAAAATAAATCACTTAAGAGGGTAATTAATTGTTAATATAAATGGTAAGATACTAAATGAGAATAATAAGTTGCACTGAAATTAGATGATCTCTGTTCAGGGGGACAATTGCAGACATTTCATATCAAGATTCAGAAATACTCTATTGAATATATCATCAATGCCACTTCTTTGAAATTATGAGGATGTTCAGGAATGAATGTGCTCTCCTATTTCTAGGTCTGACTTTTTAAATGCAGCGCTGCACCACCCACACCCTAAAATAGGTGCTGGAAAATGCAGAGATGAAAAGGTTTTGCTGCAAAGGTTACAGGGTATATTTTAAATCACATGCATTATGAGAGCATCACACAAGAAGCAGAGCCCTTAGCGATCATGGCAATAATATTCATAGCTAAAATTAGTACTACAATGCTTTTATTTTAGGAAAGCCATTATAAATTTGGGTTGACTGTGTACTTTTCAGTTGAGTTAAACCATAAAAGAACTCAGAAGCATTATGAATTTAGCAGTAAAATGTGTGCATGCTTTATCATATTGATCAAAACTTTAACAATACTGAGTTTGCAGTAGTACTGAGATGAAATAAAATCCAATATTTATTACAAGGATCACACAACTCAGGTTCATCTATATCCAGTAATAAGAACATTCAAAAATCACAATAGTGTATCTTTAGCCCACCTTGAATATGTCAGCAGAAAAAAAAGCAGCTGGAATTTCAACAAACCTGTACACGAAATAAGTTCTACTTTCCTGTCTTTTTATGTTTCAGTCCTGAAGTCAACAAACAGACTGCTTCAGAGCACCGTGCTGCTGGGCTCAAACACTCAGATCCTTGTGGTCTAATTATTACAGTCAAATTTTCAGAATCTTCTTTGTCATCCAAAGTCATTAACCGAGGCCAGCTGGAATTTTGACTGAACAAGGGCTGCAGGTTCCTGGGTGCTGGGATGAATTTTGCCTCCATGAAAGAATTACAGAAGGCTTTGGCAAACCTACGTGACCTCATTTTTAAATTCAGGGACATCTTTATTACTAGCTCACCTATTTATCTTTTAGTACATCTCTAATTTTACTATGAGTTTTGGGTTTGACTGATATGAATTAATAACCAACCTCTGCAGTTCTCCTGTTTTGTGATTGTAGCCTCCTGGAAGGGGAGAGCTTTATTTTGAGAAAGAAGTTTAACATTTACTCAGTATAACCTATATCCAAGTTCCGGATCTGCCGAGTTTGGATTGCTAATGTTAAGCTCTTCAGCTTTTGTCATGGGATGAACATGATCTGAATTATAAGCTTCTAGGATCAGTCAGGCTTGAGTGGTTTCATTTCAGTGATTTCTGATAGCTCTGTGTCAAAAAGACTTTACATTGGGTAGCTCATGATTTTTGCTGGTAAGCAATGGTAAAGAAAATTCTTGAGGCTCCTTAAGAAGTGTTTCACGTACAGAAGCCACGTGGTTTCTTTCATCCAGAAACACCACTTTAGGCAGCCCCTCAGTGCCCCCAGCAGCTAACCCCAGCTGTTTCTTGCTTACGTGTTGCAGAGGGGGACAGGGCTGAACTGACATGGATGAGGTTCGATATTTCTAATCTTTTGCATCTCCAGCCCCTCCTTCCACCCAGAAAAACCCAACTCCCCCCATCCCCAGCGTACAGCCAAAAGGGGGGCAGGGTTGAACTGTTCCTTCTGCTTATTGCTCTCTGCTGCGCTCCTGAGCAATAGCCTGCAAGATGATTTCTGTGTGCGGCTTTTTTCATTTTCTGCTTCACCCATGGTAACAAAAAGGCTTCTGACTTCAAGAGTTAGAGAAAGGTCAGCAAATATCATGCTGTCTGTGAAAAGACAAGACCTTTCCTTTGTTTGTGGTTGCAGGTGTTGGCACCCTCACTGTGCTTTCCAAGGGAGCAGAGGGACGCTTACCTTTGAACACTGGGCAGATCTTCCACACAGTGGCAGCTCCTTCTCGGTTGTACTGTCCCAGTGCTAATTCCATATAGAACAGGGGCATTCCAGCAATGATTAGGAAGAGGATGTAGGGAATAAGAAAAGCACCTGAAAATAGAATAATTAGACATTGTAGTCTATATTTTGATTACATTTTACTTTATTGCTAGCTAACTGGCTAAAGACAAAAGCTACTGCTTTTGGGAAGTAGGAAGGAAAAAAGATTCTTCCTAGAAAGAAGAATCTTTGTTCTCTTGTCTGTCTGAAAATTTCTTAGTTGTTTTATATGATCCAAGTCAAAGAAAGAAGACTCCCCCAAAAGATGGCTATATGTGATGGTATGAATCATCAGTTACAGTTGGTATTGTACTTAATAACTGGATACTCACTCAGTTTTCTGCTTTGTGGTGGCTCTAAAGTGCAGTTTTCATTTCATTGCATAGCTTACTTCATTCTGAAGAGTTAAATTAATGTAAAATAACTGTATTAAAAAAAAATGACTGGATTGTTGTGATAAATAAGAAACTGAGAGAATTGCTAAGTATGCAGAATGATGGACTGGTCTCCTTAGGAGTAACCGACTTAAAAGAAAATAGATTGCGACAAACCTGCTTAAAATTGTTCAGCAAAAGAAAAAGTAATGGAACAGCAAGTTCTGTTTTTCCCAACAGCAAGGAGTTGGAGTCTGTGCAAACCTTTAAGGCCTGTTGTACTGGCTTAGTCACTTGAAAGCTCTGCTTGCAAAAGAAAATAAGTGCTCTGCTTCTAAATACATAAACTTTCAGAAGGCACGTGCAGTCTATAAAAGCTAAAGATATTACTGAAGCTACCTACAGCAGGCCAGTAAGCAGCATGAATTTTGTTGTTGTTCCTTTATGTTTCATGTCTGCTTTTCATGGCTATTTCTAGAGTGAGCTGGCTAGCATAACTACTCAGAGAGAGAAATGAAAAAATAATGCAAAGCCAAGCCCTGTTCCCTTACTCTTACTACAGTCTACCTCTAGTAAGTAATGTGCTATAATGTAATGGTAAGGGCAATGTATTCAGCATTCAGTCCAAAATTCGGGGATTCTAAAGCTGAAATTTAGTAGTGAAACAGGACCAACGTGTAGCAACAGAAATAAAGAGTAGCTTAAAGTGTTGCAAATTTATCTGAACAGCTGAAATACAAGAATTGCTCCGAAAGTAATGCCCCTATTTTATTATGATGGCCCACAACATCAGAGGTGGCATGACTGTAGAGGTTGAACCTTCTCATCAATATTCTGTTACATTTTGTTGCCAGATGGCAGCTGAGGGGCAGCCTGACCAAATGGCATGGAAGTGCATAGAAAGAAAAGGCGTGTTGTTGACTTCCTCTGTGGACAAAAAATGGCGCCCACTGACATTTATTGACATTTGCTGGATGTTGACCAACCACTGGATGTGAACACAGTGAGGCAAGGGGTGGTTTGTTTCAGCAGTGATGACAGTGGTCATCTCAACTGGTGCAGATTTTTATGGCGCTTGTTCATTGCTGGCAAAAAATGCACAGCTAGTGGTGGTGACTGAGTTGAAAAATAGTGTTTTGCAGCTGAGAATGTGCTCTATTACACTGTGTTACTGTGCTCTTTGCAACTGTTGTAGTTTCTGTGGAAATGAATTGGAGGCGTTACTTTTGGAGCAATCTACATACATTGGTTTTCTCACATTAGGAGGCATGATTCTTCTCTTTCATGTTTCTAAAGAGTGTAGTGCAACTGCAGCCTATAATCGCAGGAGCTACTCAGTACAAATGATGCATACTTTAATAATATTTCAGTGGAATTCATAAGCCTTCCAGTGCTGTACTGTTTGAACTACAATTTATTTATATAGAGGAAAATAGAGGAAAAATATTTGCGTTTCTACATACTTGATATCCTGTTGTTCAGTGTTGAAGCATGCTCAACTAATTCAATCTGGGAAAGTTCATATTGTTTTCATTAGTAGCAATATCTACAGAAATAATTTGAGGTGGATTTCCATTTGTAGGTCTTGGAAGTGACAGCTTTTCAAGTGCCACACTTATCTTGCTTCAACGCTACTACAGCATACAGATCTGACTCACAAACCTCGCATGCTGCCTTCGGCAGGTGTTGGAGTTTGCGTGAGTGCGATTTGATTAACTATGTCAAGAGGCATGGAAAAATTATGCCACAAATTGGATAGGGAAATATGTGTATGAAACAACTCTCCTGGAGATGTGTAGTGGACATAAATATTAATGGTAGTTTAAAATACGTGTTTTCTAAGTATGACTAATATTTTGATGAACTGTGAAGTGTACCATACTTATGCACACTTGCTTAAGCATCATATATTTGGCTGCAAATCATTCCAGGCTTTAGATAAATGAAGTTTTTCTTCTATTCCTTCCCTTCCCACTCCTCCTTCCCAAGGGATTAATAAAGCGTGATGTCATTTTCTGCCAAAAACAGTTACATGGCATAGTAGAGTTTCATAGCTGGGGTTACTTTTCAGGTAATGAAGATGGTGTGTGAAGCATTTTGAAATAAATTAGAGATTAATAAGCACACAAAGTAAGGATGCTTATTCACGTTAAGTTGTCTCAAATGTTTTTGGAGACTTCTGGGCATTTCTTGTTTTGACTTTAGGTAAAAGAATACCAAAAGTCACATACTTTTGTCAGTATCTTGGTATCTAGTCTTCTCACCCAAGGAAGAAAAGGCTCCACAGTGGGACTGGTTTGTGCACGGTACCCTGTGAAAGGCAGGGCCTTTTTGGAAAGGAGACCTCATAGCATCCTGTGAGTTTGTTGCTAACGCCCTAGAGATGAGGCAGGGGGCAAAATTCATCCAGCTGAGCCTCTTGCTGGGGTCTGCTGCTGTGAACTTGTGCACAGCAACATGCTTCTCTGAAGGAGTAGCAAATGCCTACTTGTCTATAAAGCCAAACCATTAGGAAGGGTGACGCGACGCCAACTGTGTCCCTCCTGCCTGTGCCATGCAAACTACTGTGCTCCAATTGCATGAATGCAAAAGGCCGGCACGTTCCTATAGCCCTGTCAGCTGAACTCTCAGGGAGCGCACGGTTTGGCTAGCATTTCAGACTGGATGAGCAACTAGCCAAGATCTACCTACCTCAGAGCTGAGGGAATGTAAGTGTGGGACTGCTGCACTGGCAGCAATGTCCTGATAGCGCTCAAGGGATTCCACTCCCTCACTGTGTGAGGGCATGGGGCTGAGCACACAGCTGCAGCCCAGAAAGCATTACTGGTCTCAGTAATCCCTAACGGTTCCCACTTTCCCCTCCCAGCCAAAAATCTGGAGTAATTAACATTTGTAACCTAGCCTTGGCTTGACTTGCTACTGAGTCACGTGTAGCTCAAAGGCCACACGTTGCCCTTGGGCTGTTGCACATGTTGCTTTTCAGTGTTTATGGATTTCATGAGATTTGCGCACTTCCTTCCCTTATGGTACCGTAGTACACACAGAGTTAAGGAAGCCTTCTGTGTTTATGTGAAATAAGATGAGGTCAAACTCTACTTCTACACGAACCACCTATTTGAAACTTCAAGTTGAAAGTCACACAGTGGTTTTTGTTGTTTTTGTTTTTAAAGAACTACAGTGTCTGATTTATGTGGCAAAATACAGGACAGGTTTTGCATTCCTATGTTGAGTGCCAAAACAGCCTTTTCATTTTAGTCTAAGAGAGTCCACTCTGAATTTCTCCTCCCTCTGTTGCCCAACATTCACAGCATCCTTAGTGGGGAAGCAGAGAGGAAAACAGCCTCAAATATTTCTCTCAATCCTATGAGAAGGACTCATTTCACTCTTGAATACCAGAAAGAATGCAGCAGTGAATTACTAATGCTTGAGAATGATCATTTAAACAATGACTGTTGTCCTAGAAGAATTTGCTGAAGCATGTACAAGAAGCTGGCTAGGACAGGGTTAGCTGAAATGATTTTAAAGTACTCCTGCTGGTCCATTATTAGCCTTCTGCTTTTGTTACCAAGGATATTGTAGTCAAAACTTTAACTGGCAGGGGTGTCTGCTAAGCTAACAAACTTTGGGCAAGTATAGCAGTATGTTTTCAGATAGGAGTGTTGCCAGTATTTGTTCAAGAATAGAGTCTAAAAACAAAGATCTTGCAAAAGATGAATTGAAATACAAGCTAATCTCTGTACCTGATCTGTGCCTGATCAAACTGTGAGTAAAGAGTACTTGAAAAAATATCAGCAACCAATTGAAAATGCAGTAAATTTCCCTGGATAACAAGGAAAATGAGTGGAAACTGTACTACTGTAAGACTCTTGTGAATAAAAAAGGAAATCCCCAATGCAGAGATTTTGAAATCTAGATTGTGTGAGATCAGCACAGATAGAAAAACTAAGTGGCTGGAAAGAGAGGTATTTCTGAGTACAGAAATCCTAATTCTGGGTCTTCAAGCTTGTTACTGGCTTGCCAGCCCAGACATAGAGAGTATCTCTGGGGAGGTCAGTTTGCAGCAAGCCGTATTTGTTGGAGTCTAAGTAGAAAGGAGCAGGTGGGTAGACCCAACCTTTACTGCCTAGGGGGTAAAAACAGTAAGGGTTTGCATGGTACAGCAAAGAGAAGTCAGAGATGGAAAGGAGCACGATGTAGCCTCAGTGCCAAAGCCAAGATGATTTTAACAGCAGCTAGATGATGATGTTGAACAGAGGTAGATTATGGTAGTCAAAAATAACATTTTTCTGCGAAACAGATTGAACGGCATACTATAAAAACTTCACAGCGCTTTGCTTATATAAAATCTTCCAAGTAGGCAGCCTTTTTTATGGAAAGCATTTCTGAACCATAAAAGCAGTGGAGCAGTGGAGCTATACCATCTTGACTTACGTGTTTCTTTTGAAACCCTCGTATTTAGCTGCTCTAACAAATTGCTAGATTTGAACCTATCTATCTCACTCTGGGGAAGAGCCTTCAGGGTTTTTTTTGTCCAATTTTAATAGTGTTCCTTTTGCTCATAGAAAATGAAAACAAATAGTTTCCAGAAATGGTTCAGTGCTGTACACAGGCTGATGTCAAACTGAAGCCTTTATTTATGTATGTATTTATTTATTTATTCTACTTATTTATTTATTT